ACCGAGTTACTTGTGCAAAGCATAAGCGACAAGATATGTACGTGTGGATTAAGTGGAATTGAGTATAGTAAAAAGTTGCAATAAGTCAAGTGATGCAGATGGGTTGAGATGGAGTGAAATCTTTTGGAACTGCTCCAAGAACATCAGCTCTCAGGACCCTTAACTTGTCCTGTTGCTTCATCACAACGAGCTACGAAAAGAAAACTAAGCTCGATTTCGCCTTGTCCCTTACATCGTAGTAGTAACAAGCAATTTGCGCCTAAGAGCCTCTGAACGTTCTCAAGATTTAAAATATCTGTTAATTGTTTTATTTAGAGAAATTACATCACAAATTACTTAATCTTACCATGCTTTGCAAATAGCAGTTTCATTGTTTCTCATAAATTGATTGAACTCGAGGTTAGAATTGGTATTGGATTCTAAAAGTTTGTTTAGTTTAATCTGTGAAAGTGATAGATGAATCTTTTCTCTTGTTTACTTCACAATGGCGAACTTAGAAGCTGTGATATAAGGGCTACTAAAAATATCTCAAGTTTAGGGCGTTGGATGAGTAGGAATAGCAAATCTAGGTAAAGTTATTGCAATGTTTTCACAATAAAGTGGGCCAGATACAGGTAATCTTCATTTCGATGTCCTCCTAATTACAGAAAGTTCTGAAAAGTGAGCATTTATGCGTAATTTTCGATGTGAGGTTTCGAGATCACCAGCACTTTAATAAGAACCTATTCCCACAATGAAATGAGTCGGCCTCACGATGCCATTTAATTTCACTATACCTTGCATCAGAAAGAACTATCTCATTCAGGCTATCTTCATTCATAATCCAGTTCTTCTTCATATCTTATGGTGACTAGTCTTTTTAGTTTATAAGCAGGTTTTAAAGACTACCAGTAGAGCATGTATATGAGATGTATTCACACTGGTAGTTGTACTACCAGTCCCTTCATCATCTTGAACGAAATGGGGTGAATTTATCTTATTAGTTTGAGCCTAATGGTTACTGTGATGCCATAAAGCCGAAGGAAGCCACTCTGGAGGTACGGCGATTTGAGTGAGATGGTTGTTCGAGGAACATCGGCTTTAAGAAGTGAAATGACTTCAACTAAATTTGATTTACCGTTTAGCTGTGGTTTGGTCTTA